TATATATATATATAAAACTTCGCCCCATTCATTATAATTTATTTGGGGAACCTGAAAGGCGCATGGGTCTTGGGGGGGAGAAACCTTTGATGGAGATCGCAAACGAAGAAAAGCTTGACACAGAAAGTTTGGGATTTATTAAATTCTCAAATAAAAATGAAAAGAAAGCATAAGTTACTCGGTTAATGAAACAAGAAAACTCATTACTCATACCATGGATAATTCATTCCTTGAACCTTTTCCTAATAAATGGAATCCCATATGACTTTTACTAGTATTGAATTGAGCTTATAAACTGAACCATGCAAAGTCTCTTCAACATATAATTCAAAAATGTATCCCCCTTTAATTACCCAGCTTTCTTGTAAATTTTCCTCCAAAAATATATTCTAATTCTAGTTTAACAAATGTTTCATGGTCGTCGACCTCTAGTTACCTTTACTTACGTAGCCGCCCAGTGCTCACACTCCAGTAATATAAATGCCACAATGAAAAAATTTCATCCGCGTGATCCTTGCAAGCGTCTGAGCTTGAGATTGGAATCTTAACACTGCCTTGCCTATATATTTACGAATCTGATATTTGTCAAAAGTGACTTAACGGTGAGAACATATTTTCATGCAATACTGATGTTAATAATCACAAACACATGTCGTAAAAATCACGTTAAGTGTCAGTATCAACAGCTCACTACCAGAAATCCAAATACAATACATGTACGTTATTTTACAATGCATTGCCAGATGAAATTAAACATTTTAAGCCGGTACACAAATTTAAGTTAATAGTAAAATGTTTTCTGCTGCATAACTGTTGCTATACAATTAGAGACTATACTGATTATAAAAAAGAAAAATAATGTTTATTTTAACAAAACAATGATTTATAATGAATTAGTTTACGTTTGTATTGTATATTTTTAAAAAATACTTAATATATTTGTAACAAATAATGTACTTCAGCTTTCGGGTCAGTGACCCGCATCTCGATCTGGTTTTTGTCCAGTTTCCCTGATTCATTGAGCAAATACTGAGATGGCCCCTTGTTTTGCTTGTGGACGTAAATGTATCTTCACTATGCGCACGGTTTATTGTATGGTAGGAGTAGAGGTAAGGGCGAGTTACTATTTTGATAGCAATGCAGAAAATCATACTTGCATTTCGTTTACCGGTGCAAATAAGTTTTATGTAACTCGGGAACGAAAATGTCTATTTTTTCAAATATTGCTTATCTCGCGCTTGTTTAAAATTTATATTTATTTACTTATTTTAAACTTTTACTCATCTTCCAACCATTCATAGTTAAAATAACGGGAAGGGATTCTGGAACTCATGAAAACGTGCGCAGATAATCTTCTCCCCCATACGGCACATACAGTTTTT